ATGCTCTAATAAATTTGTTAGTCTCTAAGGTGCCACAAGTACTCCTGTTCTTTTTAAAGTTTGAGAACCGCTGCAATATGCAAATCTCTGAACTCTGGCTGCGTTGACAGGTCTCAGAGGAATTTGCCTTAGGCAGCTCTGGAGAGCACACCTGTTGCTATACCCCTCCATGGACTACACTATACAAGCAAGTGCATAGGAGGGACAAGTTCTGCCTCTTTCCTATCTGTTTTAGTGGGCTGGTGATGCTAGGAAGGGAGTAGTCCTGTTCTCAGGGGAGTTCAGTAGTTTTGTTATATCTCAGAGGAGAAAAAAAGCTAGGAAGTTTTCTGCCTCTTCCCTACCCCCTATTCTTACCTTGGGAGCAGTCAAACATGCTGACCCATTGAGTTTACATCACCAGAACATCAACCTCTTGCTCTGCATTCAGTTCTCAAATAGAGTGGACCTTTATTCCTTTATGGGGGTTATTCCTATGTCAATGAGCATAAACTCCTGGTGTTATTCAAGGACATTTTGTTAACTATAACACAGTATGGGACTTTAGGGTGAAAGATATTATTATTATAAACCATATTCTAAAAGATTTTGTATTAGACACTTCACTTTAATGTACGCAACATCAGCCCTTCCCCACTGTTTGAAGTTCAGCTCCAATTAGTGAGGGAGCAACCAAAGACATTCATAGATTTTTAAGACTAGGAGGGACCATTCTGATCACCTAATCTGACCTCCTGCATAGCATAGGCCATAGAATAAGGCTCTGCATTTGAGTCTTTAGCCGGAGAAAGGGTTCTCATCCTTAGCCAACGTTTTAATAAACCTTGTCTGAAAATGGGACAGAACTTTTGTATAAACTTTAGGTAAAAGCTTTTTTCATTGGAAAATTAATCTTTCAACCAGCCCTAATCTTAAATAAGCACTTGGGTAGAATGTGGTACGTCACCAAAGACGTGTTAAAAATAATGAAAGGATGACAGCGTAAAAGCATTTGAAAGGGTAGCATCTTGCCAAGTGTCCTAGAAACTGACCTCCCCTACAGGGTTTTGCCCTATTTTTCAGGAGATCTTTTTAGAAGTATAATTATTAAAGCATAACAATACTGTGGAAGGAGAAGAAAGTAAGAAGGTCATTGCCCACCCTACATTTATTTCTTATGCGAATGTTCGATTATTGCAAATATTTAGAAGTTCCTTTTTTTAGATGACGTCTATAAAATTACAAATGAAAAAGCTCAGCGTTTGCTAAACGACAACAGAACAACAAAACATGGTAAAACTTACTGTGAGTTTCTCTTTCTGTAAGAACCAACATCCTGAATTGCCTCTTAGCAATGCTACCTCTCCATCTTACCAGGATAGTCTGATAAGTATCCTTACATTGTAAAGGCACATAACACAGAAAACCAAATAATCTCCATGGTAGTTCACACAAGAGATAGATATACGGTAAGTAATTTCAACCCTAATCTCCCTCATTGGTATAGAGGGATCCCGAGAAATGGGAAAAACTCCTTGTGCTTCCACTTATTGAATATCTCACATCCTTCTCCACCTCAGGTCGCAGTGGATGTGAGGTTTCTGAGGATCTGCAGGGAAGGATTCTCAGCTCCTTAGAGGCAAGTCTGCATGAACAACTGATGCTGCTTCTGCTGTGCTGAACCCCCAACTCCACCTTCCCCCCTGGAGGGCAGCCAGAAGAGAATGGAATCAGCCAGGAATGGAGAGAGCAGGTGAAATATCAGTGGTTATACAAGTGGAGAGAAAGGATGAAATGAACCTATGGAGAGTTCTGTGCCGCAAAGAAATTTTGAATAGGATTCAGAGAGAGTCTGTGGAATTGATAGGATGCAAGTGATATGGTCTTGAGATATATTGTTTTAAAAAAAGTTTGGGCTCACATCAGTTCAACAGATTTGTGCCAAAGTGCGACTAGTTCTTTATGTTTTCTGAACCAGTGCATCCATCCCTGGTATAAAGACCAGATAATCAGTGGCTATAGAGCAAAGCAAGGAAAAAATAATTCTAGCCCTCATTAAAAAATACTTTCCTCCCAACGATCTCTGTGTTAACCTTGCTCAGTGCCCTACACTGGTGTGAAGCTAATACCTCCATAACTTTTTTATTGGAAGACTCCTTAGTGATCCAACAGCAGAATTATTTGGTATAGATGGTGACAGTTCGGAGGAAAAAGTGATGGAAACATTTGTTTTGGAGATATAATGTCTGGGACAGATACACAAACAGAGACCTTTAAAATAACCTTATTGCAGTTTCATGTCACTCTTTCATGGCCCACATTTATTTTACATCAGTCTGGCTACCATTGGATTGCTCTAATAAGCTTAGCTTAAATGACAGACTCTCAGTCCATGACAATCAGTCAATTATGCCTCCACAGATCATTCACATCTAGTGTTTTGTGGTAGAAGCTTTCCATTTTCATAATAATTGAAAGGTTGGTTTGTCTGACTTCCTTGTGAACATGGTGGAAAATGGAAATATACTACCTGAAATGAACTACTTCTATTTGGAAAGCTATTAAGAGTACAGTAAATTTTCATAAAAGAGACAAAGACGCTGATCTGAAGAGTTTATAACCCTAGACCAAATATAATATGCTAGACAAGATGCAAGAAGCAGAGGGAGATGAGGATACAGTAGTTTTCATGAGAAAAGCTGGGTAAATTAATGTTGTTGTTTTTTTTCATTTGCTGGTATCTGAAAAATTGGTAAAATATTTCAGGTCAAACTACAAATGCAACTTTTCAGCAAATGAAAAAGTAAAAAAAAAAAAAAATTGTGGTGAATGAACTGTTTTGTTTGACCCCAAATCAAACATTTGAAACAAAAAGCTGTTTCAAATCAAACTGTTTCAATTAAAAAATGTCATAATAAAATATTGTGATTTTTTTTCAAGATGACTTTTTAGGGTCTTTGACAGAAAAAAAATTATGTCAATATGAATTCATGAAATGTTTGTGTCACCAAATCTGCATTTTTTTTCCCATAAAAGGGTTTTGGTTGAAAAATTTTGCTCAGCTCTGTTAATGAGAAGTGAATGTTAAGGAGAGAGGACTGGTGCACGGGAAGGGGAGCCCCTTCCAAATACAAGGGTTAGTATGAAAGAAGGTGTGAGGCTGAGAGCTGGAGGAAATGAACGGTGCAGTTGGGAGAGGGGAAACCAGAGAGTATAAGCAGCAAGAGGGGGCTGCAGAGCAATTCTTAAATGGTGCAACTTTACCAGCCTTTTGTTAACATTTTGTTCTGTAAGTAGAAGTATCTGAGGCTATGTCTACACTACACAGCTTTTAGCAACATGTCTGTGTCGATTCAGCTGTGCTGCTAAAAGTCGTGTAGTGTAGCTGCTGTTTGTTGGCTCTCCTGCCGACAGAAAACTTCCACCCCCAACGATCAGGGTTTGTGTTGTCACCAGGAGAGCGCTCCTGCTGACAACATGCTGTTCACACTGGTGCTTGTCGCAAGAAAACTTTTGTCTTGGGGGGGGGGGGTTAACACCGCTGAAAGACAAAAGTTTTGTCATTCAATTGTCAATGTAGACATAGCCTGAGATAAATGGTCTTTGTTATTGGGACTGATATTATTCTATTTGAACTCAGGAATTTTATTTCCCTGATAGCATGGCAGAAATGATCTTCTACCATCTGCTTATGGTGATGTTACACTTAGTTGCAATTAGGCCTTTCAGTGCGTGCTGGGATAGGAGTGGGTGGGATGGTGAACATTTTATCTGTCATGTGTTCTGTGTATCTCCAAGTGTGAGTACATCAGTGCTGTGGAATGAGAGGGAGATGAGGGCTAAGGGGTTTCTCTGAGGAGAAAGGCAGCCCGGAATGACAAGGGCAATAAAATAATCTTTTTACATCCTAAAATCCTTGTTGCTTATTCATGGCTGGAATAAGACAGTTGGTGAAGGATAACCAGATTTGCCTAGAGCAGCTCTGTTGCCTAGAGCTGAAAAAAAAAGTATAGGAAATCAAAGGACATTTTGTTCCCACTGACACAGTAACCTGTGAATATATACACAATGTGCCCAATTCTCTGCTGTAGCTCTATTGACTTCAGCAGTTTTGCCCATTTACACCTGCAGAGAATTTGGCACTGTGCCTTTTGCAGCAAATGTCATTATTTTGAAGTGTTCTGCATACGTTAAAGCTTATGACAGTTCATGTTCGACAGAAATCGCTGTAAATCCTGACAATCTCTCTTGATTCATTGAAGACGTCAGCTAGTCCTTGATCAGTTTACGCAGAAACCAACACAGTCAAGAAAATGCACAGCACAACATAGGTGTGAAGGTAAATCTGCTGTGGTCTGTTCTTTGCAGTAACAGCCTGATTTTTTTTTCTAGTGGTGACAAAGGTATTGGCTATATTAACAGTGCAGCAAGAGCTGATAATTCCTCTTTCATTCCCCAACAATCAAAACCAGAACGATTATTTTCTTCATCAGTATTTCTTTCAGGGCTCAGTGTTGGGATCTTTTTGGGGGGGGGGGGCTCTCAAACAATATTTTGCCACCCCCACAATTGTAAAGAATCCCTGTTGGCTGTGATCACACCAATATACACAGGCCCAGTCTTAAGAGTTTGGGGAGGGTTAGTAAGATGATTTTTTGCTGCACAAAAACATACACACCCTTAACTGACCGATATTTTGAAATGTATGTGATCCCTAGGTCTCATTCCCTTGGCCTCACACAGGAGAAACAGGGCCTAGTGGTTTGTGCTGGGATCCATGAATACTGGTAGTTGCCAGATTTTAGAAAAGTCTTGCAAGGGACAATTGTCCATTTAAGCTGACAATATTGGTCTGGGACCAATATGTGGGGAAATGGGGGCTATGTGCGATTCTGGTGACTTTTGGGATTTATATACACGAGTATTTAATTAAATATGTAATTCCCTGAGTGTTTTAGGTAAACATATTTCCCATTTTAAAGATATGGAAACTGATGCAAGAAGCTTAAGGGGAAAATGTTCAAACTTATGTTTACAATGTCATACACCCATGTCTAGATTTAGGCACTTCGGCCTAGATCCCAAAGCAGCTTAACTCCCATTGATTTCAAATGAGTTAGGCTTCTAAATATCTTTTGTGTATCTGGGCATTCAATAAAAGTGAAAATGGACACAAATAAAGGTCAACGGGACCTTTCAGTGCTCTGCTTCTATGATTTTTTTTGGTATCTAACTTTAGGCCTCTCCATTTGGAAATATTGGTCTATGGGACCTGACAAAGGCCACAGAGCGAATAGCATGGCAAGGGATTAGTTAGTTTTCTAGCCCATGCTGCCTGTCATGCTATCGACTGGCCCCTCCTTGTAGCCCATGGGTTCCCAAACTTTTCACAGTTGCGCCCCTCCTTACCCCGTCCATGCCTTCCCCCCCCCTCAGGAGCTGGGGCCAGGAGTAGGGCTGCGGCTGCCATGCCTCCTGAACGTTCCTCTGAGCCCCCCTGGCGGGGCAGGCCTCACAGTTTGGGGACCACTGTTGTAATCAGAGGTCAGGCTGGCTGCTTAGCATAGGACATGGCTCAGCAGTAGGCAGCTTATGGAGGCTCTATTGTCACCAGTAGCAGCCTGGGTGGCACTGCTCCCTGCATTTGGGAACTGAGCTTGGTTCTTCAAGGAACATACGGCTATGGTTTTTATGGACCCTAAAAGCCAGCCTTGGAGGCTGTGAGGGGACTGTGAATAAATAACTTGTGACCTTTGGGGAAAATCAGTGACAAGCTTTCAGTTCTAGTTATAAGTTTGCATTTTAAGATCTCTCCCCATTCTGGGAACGGATTAACCTTTAAAAAAAAGAAAGAAGCTGAGATTTTCCTTTACATTTCTAAGTCATTCAAAGTAAGATTGAGCTTGGCTCTTGTGTTCTGTGAGTCCACAGAAGCCAGCTCTGTCTCCTATGCTATATGCTGAAAGACGTCACTCTTTACTATACAACAATATTAATGAAGTGCCCTGAGAACAATCAGTAAACCTGGACTGGTTTCAGTAATGTGCTAGTACAAAATGTTACTTTATTAGCAACAGCCATGCAAGTCACTTATAACAAATACTTGTTCTGGCTCAGTTGCAATTTGCTATGATTGTTAGTGGGTTTTTTGTGCTGGAGCTATGAAAAGCCTTGATAATCATAAAGTTCTCTTTTATGTGATTGAAAGTCAAATTATGATTATTGACAGGTACCCAAAAGCATAAAGGAGCACTTCCAAGAAAGATTTTGTAGGGGATGGCTTGCAGGGAAAAAACATCAGCTAGATTCCAGTAAAACCAGATATGAGTCTATTCATTGTAATAGGATTTAAGAAGCATGGTTAAAGTACACATGCAGGACATTTTATTACCCTGCAACACCCTACAATTAGAGGTTACCTTTATGGATGGTGGTTAGCGTCCTCCCAATGCTTGGAACACTCCTGTGCACAGAAGTGCACCATCTATCATTCTGACAAAAAGCTATTCAAGGGCTACATTGCTGCTGTGTGATCTGCCCTGAGCAAGGGGTAGTGAGTAGTTGTGCTGCCGCAGGAGCAGGCTGGGAAATAAATTGTGACTTGGAGAGTCAAAATCTGCCTACCCATTTCCCCCATGGTTCTGGGAAAAAGTAAACTGAGGTCTGGTCTATACTGAAAAGTTACATCGGCATAGCTACGTCTCTCAAGGGTGTGAAAAATCCACACTCCCGAGAAATGTAACTATGCCAACC